GTAAGTCAAGGACTACCTGTACTTCATCACTTTTTTCCTTTTTTGGGGGGGGGTCATCAAGTTTTTGGCACCTTGCTAGGCGACTGGTGGTACTCGGATATTGCCATATCCTAAAAGTGGTACAATGGGTGAAAAGATTGAAAAGCCCTGATCTATTGCAACAATAAGAGCTCCCCCGCTTGCAAAAGAGGTCCAAAACTTATGATCTTATACATCTATTTGCAACCTAATTGACCTATCATAGATTATATATGTGAAATTCCAGCAGCCGTTCCTTATATGTTTTAGCCTCCAGTCCTCTAATCATCTTTGTGGGGAGGGCTCCTGTTCCATTTTTCTAAACCATGAACATCCATAAATGGCAACACATTGTACATTTTCTCTATTGTATTACACAACTAATACAAAGAAAAATAAAGACACAACCCCCCCCCTCCACTTTCAATCTGGGCAAGTATGATGAAGATTAACAGTTTATCACTCTCCCTTAAAGTAAAAGCAGCAACTCTTCACCCTCTTCCTCGCCCGCTATGAAATCTTCTCCAAAACCTCTTAATCAGCACAAACCTATTAAAGGTCATCAGAAATAACAACAGAGCTCTTACGAGCTATGTTACAAAGCTATTACAAGCTACACAAGGCAGTTTGGTTTAGTGCAGGGATAGGCAACCTTGGCTCTTTTATGACTCGTGGACTTCAACTCCCAGAGTTCCTGAGCCAGCATGGCTCAGCTTGGAAACCTCTCCCTTTCCCCTCAGCATGGCTGGCTCAGGAATTCTGGGAGTTGAAGTCCACGAGTCATAAAAGAGCCAAGGTTGCCTACCTCTGGTCTAGTGGTTAAGGCACCAGGCTACAAAGTCACTGTGAGTTCAAGTCCCGTCTTAGCCGTGAAAGCCAGCTGGGTGACCTTGGGAAAGTCACTCTCTCTCAAGCCAGCCCACCTCACAGGGTTGTTGCTGTGGGGAAAATAGGAGGAGGAAGATGTACTGAATACCTTTGATACCTTCGGCAGCTAATACAAACAAATAAAAAATAAAATAAGATCTACTAAACCAATAATAATAATAATGATGATGATGATGATGATGATGATGATGATGATGATGATGATGATGATAAAGTTGGAAGGGACCTTGGAGGTCATCTAGTCCAACCCCTTGCTCAGGCAGGAAACCCTATACCATTTCGGACAAATGGCTGTCCAGTTTCTTCTTAAAAACTTCCAGTGTTGGCGCATTCACCGCTTCTGGAGGCAGGTTGTTCCACTGGTTAATTGTTCTAACTGTCAGGAAGTTTCTCCTTAGTTCTAGGTTGCTTCTCTCCTTGATTAGTTTCCATCCATTGCTTCTTGTCCTGCCTTCAGGCGCTTTGGAGAATAGCTTGACTCCCTCTTCTTTGGGGCAGCCCCTGAGATACTGGAACACTGCTATCATGTCCCCCCTCGTCCTTCTCTTCGTTAAACTAGACATACCCAATTCCAGCAACCGTTCCTTATTCCAGATTGAATGCTTTTGATTCCACAATTATAAACACATAAGATTTTCTTTTCTTCTCTGTTCCTCAATAAAACAAGGTCACTGATTCAATGATAAAAGCAGTGATGAAAGACCGAAAAACTAATCCTGGTTCCAGCACCCTGAAGGGCTCCTCCTGAGAGTCCGGCCTAATTCAGAAGCAGGCTTATTCCCCTCTTCTCTCCTCCTTCTTCATGCTGGGAGTGTCCACTCGGGCTGCAAAGGGGAGGGAAAAAGCAGGCAGGGTCAGTCTGAGAGGGAGCCAAGAGGAGGAATCACCCGTCCAGGCTGAGGGATCAGCAAAAATCAGCCCAGGGAAGGAGTAGAAGCAGCAGCCTCAAGGGAGGGATCAGCTGAGTGGGATTTACAAGAGGGGAGGGGCAGGGCTGGGACTGGCTCCTGAGGTAGGTGAGAACCTGCCCCACATGTATGGATGCCTCCCCTCAAAACAAAGCCAATTTTAGTCCATTTTGCCCTCAAGAGACAAGTGCACATGGATTCATGACCTCCAGAGATCCAAGATTGTCAGATCCTGAGCGGTGCCACAATCTGGCCTTCAGGATAAAAATTTGGGGGCAGGCTGATCCCCCCCTCTTTCAGAGCCCCAATGAACAGAAGAGGGATTTCAATAATAATAATAATAATAATAATAATAATAATAATAATAATAATAATAATAATAATAGACTAGGCTAGACTAGACTAAAATAAACAGAGTTGGAAGGGACCTTGGAGGTCATCTAGTCCAACCCCCTGCTCAGGCAGGAAACCCTATACCATTTCAGACAAATGGCTGTCCAATCTCTTCTTAAAAACTTCCAGTGTTGGAGCATTCACCGCTTCTGGAGGCAGGTTGTTCCACTGGTTAATTGTTCTAACTGTCAGGAAGTTTCTCCTTAGTTCTAGGTTGCTTC